ATGAATGAGCGAATAGTCGACTCCATGAGAAGTGTCTGTGCAGTAAGAAGATGAATGAAAAAACTGTCCCCTCAGCCCCACTTTTCTTTGGGACCATGTCTGCCTCATGCCTCTCGGACGCCCTTCTCTCCCCTTCACTCAGGGCTCCCAGAAAAACCTCCCGCCGGACGGGCCCCCAGACCAAGCGCCACCTGCCGAGAAGGGCCCTCTCTCGGGGGAGCAGCAGGAGCTCTACTACGCCAACCTCACCTTTGAGGGGCTGAAGTCACGGGAGCCTCGGGACCAGGAGGCCACCAGCACCCACGAGTACTCAGTGGTCAAACGCAGAGGCCAATGAGGACTTGCTCAGAGCTGGGTACTGGCCAGAGGCATCACAGCCCCTGGGGTGGGGGTGGGGGGAGAATGGGAAGGGGGCAGGGAGAAGTCTAGGACTCATTGTTGAAGCATGAGGAGACCTTGCGGCCTGATTAACATTAATGGCTCAGATGAGCAGCCCCAGGCAGAGCAGGAAGAAGACAGGCGATGGGGTTTGAGAGACTGAGAGACGGGATGGGCCGGCTCTCACGTCCACCTGCACCTGTGCTTCAGATGAGCTGCTCTGTGACGCTGTCTCTCACCCTCCCGCGCCCTCCAGAACAGCACTTCCTGGCTCCTGGCACATGGTCTAAGGTCTGGGTTTTCTAATAAATCCCGTCTTCTCATCGTTCTCTGGGTGGCTGTCTCCCGGATCGCACCCCGTCTGAAGCGCAATGACAAATTACACAGACCACAATGTAGACCCTGGGTAGGATTCTCCTTCTCCAGGCATCGTTACTGTGGCCTGTAGCAGGTGGGTCACTACAATCCCATCAAGGACTGAGGGAATTCAGAACCCGGTTTCTGGTCCTATTGCGTCTCATCTATTTTCAGTCCTAACCACAAGATGGCGATGTTTACGGGGCCTCTCCTTCTTGGAAAGACTTCGTTTCTGGCCCCATGAGATTCTTCCTCTTCTTCTTCTTCCACATTTTTATTCATTTCAGAGAGGAAGGGAGAGGGGAGAGAGAGATAGAAACATAGATGATGAGAGCAAATCATTGATTGGCTGCCTCCTGCACGGCCCCTACTGGGGACTGAGACCGCAACCGGGAATATGCCCTTGATGGGTATCAAACCCAGGACCCTTCAGTCTGCAATCCGACGCTCTATCCGCTGAGCCAAACTGGCTAGGGCCCGATGAGATTCTTGAATGTTCTACTTAGCTTCTCTGTGACTGCTCAGATTCAGCAGTCTATTTGAATAAAAACGTGGCTCCAAATACTTGTCTCATCGCTGTTGACTTCCTGCTTCTTCCTTCTTCTCTGTGCAAATTTTCTTTTTGTTGACTCCAAACATTAAAAAAAAAAATCTAATCCAGCTTTCCTAGTTCATTTGTTTTTTGTTTTTCTCTTAAGGACAACTGTCTCCATGCTGTGGTCCACTAAGGCCACAGGATCCTTTCCTCAATCTGAACATTTAACCTTTATGTAGAATAAATTAAAACATAGAATTTATTTGTGTGACCTACCAGCTCCAAATACAGTATCTCAACCCAACTTCTGATACTTCATTTCTCCATTTGAGCTGAAGAAGTGGACTCGGCACAGTGCCAGGCACAGAAAAGGCTCACCGATTATGTTTTGAGTAGTCCAGAGCTCCGTGACAGTACAAGGAAGGGTTTAAAAGCAAAATGATGGGGAGGAAGTAAGGGAAGGGCAGGATTCTGACAGGTTTTCTGGAGGGGGTGAGAGTAGAGTCAGCCCTGGGCATCCAGGAGCAAGGGGCACAGTGACCTCTCAGAAGTGCATTGTGTCTCTGAAGCCGTCTCCTCTTCCCTAGGATGAGGGAGGTTCCAGGGGGAGACTGAGGAGTTTGGCTGGACCTCTGTCCTGTAGGACAGAATGTCACCAGCCTCACTCCCCGGCCTTACCTCCACATGAGACAGGGCAAGACTCGGCCTCCAGGGGGCGATCCATAGACGTGCGGAGCTCCTCACAAGAGGGGTGGCGCTGTCCGTGGTTCTGGAGCACACCTGGGCTCAGCTCTGCAAAGGACCCCACTCAAAAGCCCGAGGTCCCCAGCCTTAGGCCAGCAGGACATCTAAGTCCAAGGGGCTTTGGAAAGGCTGGGTTCCTCTTGGGAAGGAAAAGTCAGGAGAAGCGGTTGGAGTTGGCTGGGCTCATCTCTGAGCTTTTCCTCTCACCCCTCTGGTTGTCTTATTCTTTTGAACTTGTGCCAGCAAAATGCTGAGATTCCACTTAGCATTTGCCACCGAAATGTTTCAAAAGAGGAAGTTCCCCGTGAATTGCTACATGTTTTAGGGGATCTACCAAACTTGTCAGGCCACCACTAGGAACTAAAATCTCAGGGTGATGTACAGAGAGGGTAGTTTTGGGGGAGGTTAGGCCAGTTAAGGAGAAGCAGGGGCCTGGGGAGGAAGCCGGGCATGAAGAGGAAGAATGGGCCCTCACTGGTTTGGCTCAGTGGATAGAGCATTGTCCTGCGGACTGAAGGGTCCCAGGTCCGATTCCAGTCAAGGGCATGTGCCCGGGGTGCAGGCTCAGTTCCCGGTGGGGGGTGTACAGGAGGCAGCCAATCGATGATTCTCTCTCATCATTGATGTTTCTATCTCTCTCTCCCTCTCCCTTCCTCTCTGAAATCAATAAAAATATATTTTTTAAAAAAGAGGAAGAATGGGCAGACACTGGCAATAACAAGAAGAAATATTGATCATGTGCATTTATTGCCCAGAGGCTGGAAAGACTGTTGGCTGTTTGCATGTTTTATCACGGGCACCAGCAACATAGGAATTCACCTTCCACAATAAACTCTGTCTGTGGGGAGGCGAAGCTTTTGAAACATTCATAAACACATTTGAGCATTTGCCTTGGGTGTGCGCTGTGCTAGGAGCAGGAGATTAAAAATGAACTGAGCAGCTCTGGTCTGGCTAAGTTGATTGGCACATCATCCCCTGTACCAAAAGGTTGTGGGTTTGATCCCCAATTAGTGAACCTACCTAAGTTTTGGGTTTGATAACCCAGTTGGGTCATGTACGGCAGGTAACCAGTTGATGTTTCTCTCTCAGATTAATCTCTCTCTGTCTCTCTCTCTCTGTCTCTCTCTCTCTCTCTCTCTCTCTCTCTCTCCTCTCTAAAAATCAATGTAGAATCTAAAGAACAAAATAACTGATGAACAGAATAGGATCAGAGGAATGGATAAATGGAGCAAAATGAGGGTAGGAGGGGAGGGAGGATGTGAAGAGAGCAACCAAGGAATATATATGTACATATATGCCCAGCCCATGGACACAGAAAATAATGTGGTGAAGGCCTAGGGGATGGGTGGAGGGTGGAGGGAGGCAAGGGGGGGGTGGGGTACATCTGGAATAGAGTCAACAATAAAAACATAAAAAATAAAAAGCATATCCTTGGGTGAAGATTTAAAAAAAGTGAACGAAACAGATTTGACTTGACAGAGCCTTCAGGGTTAACCAGGACATGCATTTAATGTTCTGTAATGTTACAAATGATTGGACCATATTGAGGGCTTACTAATCACCCAGCATGAGTGACACTCATTATCCCCATTTACAGATGGGGAAACTGAGGTGAGGAGAGGTGAAGTACCATGTCCACAAAGGGTAGATAGTAATTGTTTGGGACTGATACTCCCATACTCTCATGCCAGGTGTTTTAGTTGTCTGAATAGAACTGAGTCATACTCAAGGTTACAGGCTTCCTGTGTGATATCTACTAAGCACACATGGGGCTCTTTAAAAACTTGCAAAGGTCCGGAACACCATATTTGGGAGACAAAGGGACTAGGGGGGATATAAAGGGAGAAGTTCCTCCATGTTGCTTTTCTCAGATTTCAGAAGCAGTCTGGGCCTGCTAGCATAATAAAAGACTCCATATTAATTGGCTGACTAAGGCATCTTTCGTTAGGCTCGCTAATTTACAATATAACACTGTCTTCTCTGCTTAGGGAGTAAAACTGTCTTTTTTTCCTTCCCCCCTTTGCCCTCCCTTCCTGCATGCTCTCAGTAGGAAGGTTTTTAACCAATTTCTCTCAAGTGTCTTTGGCTGGAGAAGATAATGGCTTGTTAGTTACAAGCTGCAAACTGCCCATACTGTCTGGCCTCCTTTAACTTTCCCGTCATTGTTTCCCTATTCATCCTGCCCTGGGACCCTGTACCATGTTTGGTGATGCAGTACCTGGTCAGCTTTGGGTATGAACCCCAAACTGTTGGCAAGATCCCTTGGGGGGCCCTAAAATGGGACAAGGGAGGGATTGGCGGTCAGGAGGTGCTGGGAGAACGAACAGATAAAAGTGAGGCCAGATGACCCCAGAGAAATGATAAGAAACTATTTCATGAACCAAATTCCAAGTCAGGAGGGTGGCCTCTCCCTGGGGAGGCTCTGAAGCGTTCCAGGATGGAAAATGACACCAACAAGCTGTTACCCTGTCCACTGTGCCTGCTCACCCCTGGCTTCAGGAGCACTTGCCAGCAGGACCTTCCTGTTCAAAAAGAGACCAGTCAGTGCTGGGCGCACGTCTGTGACGGAACCTCTCTTGGTTGATGTCTATGTGCTGATTTATTTACTGCAACAACCAGCTTTGAGTACAATGCATGCCCTCTGTACAGAGGGACACTGAGCAACAGAGACATGAAGTGAATCACCACGTGATGACACTGCCTTGACGGCGGTCGCCAACCTTTCGGACCTCATGGATCACCAGTGGTCCACTGACCAGTGTTTGGGGCTGCTGCCTTGGGATGTGCTGAAGCCTGCGTTTGAGGCCCCATCTCTGTAAACCCGTCACCTGTCTTCTTTCTGCGCTGCTCATATAGTAGTTAACCTTAATTGTGCCACAAGGTCTCCTCATGCTTCAGCAATGAGTCCCTGATTTCTTCCCCCCAGAGGGGCTGGGATGCCTCTGGGCAGGACGGAGCTCTGAGCGAGTCCTCATGTGCTTTTCTCCTAGATCTCTGAGTACTCATTGATGCTGCTGGTGGCCTCCGGGTCCTCAGGTTCCTGTGGCTTCATCCCATGGAAGCTGAGGTTGCCGTAGTAGACCTCCCAGTGTTCCTCTGACAGAGGGGGACCCTCTGTGGGCAGCGCTTGGTTTGGGGGCTTGTCTAGCCCAAGTTTTCGCTTGGAACCCTGAGTGAAGGAGAGTAGGGAGTCAGAGAAGAATAAGACAGCATGGTCCCGAGGGGAAGTTGGGCTGAAGGAACAGTTTTCCAGTCATCCTCTTATTCCACACACCTGTCTTATCAACTCAGCTATTTGCCCCTTCAGTTAAAATTCTGTAATACTACAACTGATTAGACCATATGGAGGGCCTACTAATCACATTTCATCCTCACAGACACCCAGTAAGGATGATACTCTTATCCCCACTTACAGATGGGGAAACCGAGGTGAAGGGAGGTGAAGTAACATGCCCACAATGGATAGAAAGTAATAGTTTTGGGGAGCTGGTTCTGGCAGCCTGGGCCTATCAGAGTGGTGAGGTGGGCTCAATGATCAGCAGGCCTGAGGCAGGAGGCTGACCATGGGCTTTGGGAGACGAAGGAGGGGAGTCAACTCCCAGTTGCCTGTCCAGCTGACCACAGAGGAGCGGGTGTGGGGAACTGCTCAGAAGCTCAGTGTGGACTCCTTGAATGGACATTCCCAGGCCCCCCTAACCCGCATGAGAGACACCCCGTCACTCACCCAGGTGACTGTGCCCATGACAGGCTCTTCATCATTCGTGACCTTTGGTCTCCCGGCTGCTTGCCTCCTGTGGGGACAACAGAGGCATCCAGGCCCTGAGGCCGGACTCGGAGACCCTCCTGACATGCAGGTGAGGATCCCATCCCCCTGGATGTCCAGGGGTTTGGCCAGGACTGAATGTTCATCACCGAGGCCCCTCACACAGAGAGACTTGTGCACGAGCCATCATCAGAGTGATTCATGGCAGCCAAAAAGTCCAAGCAACCCAATGTCCAATGAATGAATAGACAAATACAATGTGCCCCATCCATACCATGGAATATATTTGTAAATAAAAAGCAATGCAGTGCTGACTCATGAACCTTGAAAATCTCAGGCTACATGAAAGAAGTCAGTCATAAAAAACATGTATGTTATAATTGCATTTATATGGAAGATCAGAATGGGAAAATCTGGCGAAACAAGAAATAGTGGTTGCCTGGGGCTGGGGGGGATGGAGGCGGATGGCAATGAATGGATATGGAGTTTCTATTTTATTTTATTTTATTTTGTTAATCCTCACCTGAGGATATTTTTTCCATTGATTTTCAGAGAAAATAGAAGTGAGGGAGGGATGGGAGGGGGTGGAAAAGAGAAACAGAGAGAAAGAGAGAAACACTGATGTGAGAGAGACACATGAATTGGTTGCCTCCCGCACGTGCCCCGACCACAGCCAGGGATCAAACCTGCAACCCAGGGAATCCTTCGGTCACAGTCTGGCACTCTAACCACTGAGCAATGCCTGCCAGGGCTAGTGTTTCTATGTCTTCATTTGGGGCCAATGAAAAAACATTTTTAAATTGTGGTGTTGGGTGTACAGCTCTGTGACTGCACTAGGGTCACTGAACTGTGCACTTTAAATACAGGGAAATGTTACCTTGAAAAAGCGGCTACTCCCTCTCCCCTCTGGTTGTACTAAGCTCTGTTTTTCTGAAATTCAGCGTCATCTCAGGGCGATCCCTACCACGCAGCTCCCTGCGCCTCCCTGCCCCAGAGGCTCACCTGCAAAAGGAGAGGAGACACAAGCACAGGGACAGCAGGGCCAGGGCTCCAGCACCTCCGAGAGCCGCAGGAACCACTCCCGCCTGGAAAACCGCCTTCCCTGCAGAGGGGAGGGGCGTGAGACACCCACTCGCGGGACTCGGTCTCTCCTCTTCCCCCTCCTCCCAGAACCCGCTGTCGGTTCAGTCAGGCAGGAGATGCAGGCCCTGTCCTAGCAATCTCCCCTGTCCAGGCCACAACCCCCCTCCCCCAGCCCCACCCTCTCTCTGACCCACTCCTTTCTCCGTGGCCTCTGTCCCCAGCAGGCCCTGACCTGGCAGCAGCAGGACAGAGGCGCTCTGGGCCCCGTGCACATTCCAGGCCTCGCAGCTGAGTCTGAGGTCATGACTGAGCCCCTCACTGAGACTCAGGGAGCTGTTGGTCCAGGGCCCCTCTGAGCTGGAGGTGACCACGTGGGAGGCGTTGCCATGGTTCCCCTCCAGCAGCCCCGCCCCCAGCCACCAGCGCAGGGAGGGGGCCGGCTGGGCCCTGGAGGAGCAGCTGCAGTGCTGACCCTGGTCCTCCCAGGAGCAGGAGGGTCCCAGCAGCTGCGGGGGGTCTGTGGGGAGCGAGGAGAAGGGTCAGCGGAGCCTCTAACCTCCCCAGAACCCAGCTGTCCTGCCCCCTGGGGTCTCCCCACTCACAGACCACGGAGAGGCTGAGAGAGACGCTGTGGGAGCCCAGCGGGTGCCGAGCTTGGCAGGTGAACTCTCCTTCCTGTGCAGGCCCCACGCGAGGCAGCTCCAGGATCGCGGTGCTGGAGAGGGGGGTGGCGTTCAGGCCTGGGGACCCCCGGAACCAGCTCAGCTCGGCAGAGGGGTAGCTGTCAGCCACACAGAGCAGCCTCAAGGCCTCTCCTTCCAGGATGGAAAGGGAAGTGGCCTGCAGAATCTTGAGGTCTTTGGGTAGAGAAATGAAGACAAGGAGAGGGAGCGGAAGACGAGTAAGGGGAGGGGAAGGGGGGACTCTGGTACAGGCACCCACCAACAGGATGTAAGCGAGGAAGCGTGATAATTTTAGTCCCTGCCCTTCTCAACTCTGATCCCATTCAAACTCAGATTCCCCCCTCTCCTCCACTATGGTCCGGAGGGGCAGGTCCCAGCCCAGAGAGGCGCAGTTCTTTCCTATCTGTGATATTTCTTTTAAAAAATATGTTTTTATTGATTTTTAGAGAGAGAGAGAGAGATGAAGGGAGAGGGATAGAGGGATGGAAAGATGGATGAGAAACATTATCAATAGGCTGCCTCCTGCACGCCCCCGACTAAGGATAGAGCCGGCCACCCAGGCATGTGCCCTGACTCAGATTCTAACCTGTGACCTCTTGGTTCCTGGGTTGAAGCTCAACTTCTGAGCCACACTGGCCAGGCCTAGCTGTGGCGTTTCTGAAGGTGATGCCTATGGTGAGGTTCTGTGGGGCATCTGGGATAGAAAAATATGGCCCCAGTTCAGAAGGGAGGAGTGGGATGGACAACACCCCTAATGCCAAGGAGGGAACTGGGAAGGGGGGAGAGCTGTCCTTCTGGCCCCCTCCCCACCTACAGGCAGATCCATGCATGAGTGTTCTCAGAATACCTCATCCTCTTGCACACACACACACACACACACACACACACACTCGCCAATGCCATTACCAACACAGACCCAGCCACCCCTCCAATACTCACAGGAGATATTGAGCTGGATGGTTCTCTGTGTGGTCCACTGGGACCCTTCCCGTTTCACCTGACAGGTGAGGTTGGTGCCATGGTCCCCGGGCCTCGGGGTGAAGGTGAGCACTGAGGAGCTGAGGTTCTGGGGGTCCAGTGAGTCCATAGCGGCTCCCTCCCAGGAGAAGGTGAGAGGTCGTCCTCCTTCACAGGCCCCTGGCAGGATGCAGGCCAGCTGTGTGGGGTGGCCGGACTCCAAGGGCTCCCTTATCCGGATGTGGGGTTTTTCTGTCAGGGCTACAGGGGATTAAGGCAGGTGCCTGGGCTCCAGGAAGTGGGTACCTGAGAGAGGCCCTGCCTCGGGGCCAGAGCTCACCCAGGCCGTGTCTCTTCCCACCGCCCAGGGTCCAAGGCCTGGATCAGGGAGTGTCCAGAGTCCTGTTCATGTTCCAAGACCGAGTTCCACATCTCAGACTTCTCTCCAGGGCCCCTGCCTTACCTGTCACCTGCAAATTCAGCATCTTGTCTTGGTAACTATATTTCACACTTCCTCTCTCCATTCGGAAGGTGTATATTCCTGTGTCACTCCTCCTGGCGTCTTTGATGTGCAGGGAACAGTTGTTCCAGGCGTCCGGGAGGAGGAGTCGGCCTTGGGTCTCCCTCTTTGCTGGTTTATTTGGGTCGTTCGAGGCCACAAGTTCATTGTACTGCATGTTGTCCTCTTTCCAGTACCAGTAGGTGTAGAGTTCACTAGAGGAAGACCAGGAACTCCAGGGGTAGGAGAAGGAGCAGGGCACGTGGACACACAGACCCTCTTGCACCACCACAGATTCCTGTACTCGGAGCTCAAAGCCTGGCTGCTCCTCCAGAGATTCTGGGAGGGGGACACAGAGGCTCAGAGGCAGCCCTATCTCTCTCCCACTTCCCCACCCCCCCTCCCTGGGCCCACTCACTCCCCCACAGCAGGAGCAGCAGCAGCAGGGGCACCATGTCTGTCTCTCTCAGCACAGAGCAGGTCCGGGTCCCTGTGTCAGGGAGCAAAGTGCCAGCTCTGGGGTGGAGCTGAGGATGCCCCAACAGGAAGCCCAGGGGGAGAGACTGTGGATAGTCCTGAAAGGGGAACTTGGCCTCCACAGTAGTTGGGGGTTGTGGTGACTGAGAAATCTTCCTATTTCCCCTCCCCCGTCCTGACCCTGCACGTAAATATACTGACGCCCCAGAGGTTGAAAGGCCTATCCAGATGTGAATCTGAAAGTGACCCCCTTACAGATGAGGTGTAAGTCGAGAGGGTGGTCCCCCAGGGGGCCACCGTGGTCATCACTGGTCCTGGTGACTCAGGGGATCCACCCTCCAGCTGAAACCATTGTGTAAAAGGGTAATTTTAAAATTTCTTCACATCACTCAAATGCTGGAAAGAAGGAATTTAGACTCAACTCTCATGGAGGGTGGAACCCAGGGGAAAAGCTGACGCCTTTTGGGGCACATGGGAAGCACACATGTGGGTCTCCCAGGGTCTGAGGGACAGCGACAGCGCACAGGCCCCGTCAGAACGGGATGTGTGAAGGCAGATCGCACCCCTTCAGGGGGAGCCTCAGAGGTTGGACCTCCTCATGACAGCAAATTCGCCACCTTACAGTCTCTTTTCAAAGCCCAGCAGGGGCTCGAGCGATGTGTGGACATAACCTGCAATCCTACTGCTCTTTTATGAAAGAAAGAAACGTGATCAATGTTTTTCCAAATATGACAATGATGTGAAACACTTCAGACATTCCCAGTCACAAATTGTGTAATTGAAATAAGTTCCTTAAACTGTACAGAAGAAAAAGAAATTTCTCTCAACCATGCTGAGGACACACAGAATTCTCTTTCTATTCTCTATACTATATACATATACTATTATAACAATTAATAATGTTTCTTAGTATGATATTAACACATGTTAGTACATGACAGGATTATTGTCCTATAAAGAGTCCATCAAAGAGTATCAGTCAAAAAAATGTGGGGAGCGTGTTATGCAGGTGTTGTAGAAAGGTATGCCATACTGCTAATAAAAAAGGTCTGTAATTTTTTGGAATTGTCTTATTTTTGGTTTTCAGAATTGTAGCTTTTGTGACATGATGTGTGTTCTCATTTCAGAAAAATTCATGTGTGCCACTTTGTGTATTAGTTTTGAAACAGTGATCTCAACATTTGTACAAATATCAAGCTCCACAAAACCAGGTCTTTCCCTGCCTCAGGTGCAGATTAACAAGAGGTAACTAGCGCCACCCACCCGTGTATTACAATGAACACCCACCGAGACTCCTCACGTATTACAATGAAGATTGTCCAGTGCAAACAGAGGACTAAAGAAAGCACGATTTCCATGGCTGTGCCCCACAATTCCTATCACTGAACCATGTAGCAAATCTCAAGCTGGGATACAAAAAGGACAAGAAATAAATGTTGACAAGAATGTTCAGAAAGGGGAACCCCCTTGCACTGTGGGAATGTAAATTGGGGCAGCCACTACGTACTAGTAAATCAGTCTGGCAGTTCCTCAAAAATTATAAATAGAGCTGCCACAGGACCCAGCAACACCCCTTCTGGGTAATTATTTGGGAGAAATGAAAACACGAACTTGAAGAGACGTATGTACGCCCATGTTCACTTTGGCATCTTCTGCAATAGCCAAGATGTGGCAGCATCCTCAGTGCCCATCCATAAATGAGTGGGTGAAGAAAAGGTACATGTACAATGGAATATTATTCTGTCATAAAAAAGGAAAGCCTGTCATTTGCTACAACATGAATGACCATGAAGGCATTATAAGACAGAGAAAGACAAATACCATATGATCTCACTTATGTGTGGAAAGTTTGAAAAAAATCAAACTCATAGATACAAAGAATATTCTGGTGGCTGCCAGAGGCAGAGGGGGTTGGGGTAGGAAAAGGTCAACATTTTCAGTTATAAAATAGTTAATTCATGAGGACATAATATGCAGCATGGTGACTGTAGCTAATAATAGCATGTGTTGATATTATGAACTATAGTAATATAGTTAATAATACTGTGTTGAATATCTGAAAATTGCTACGAGAAAAATTGTTACAAGTTCTCATCATAAGGGAAAAAAAGTGTGTAACACTATGTGGTGGTGGATATTAACAAGATTTTTAACAGCTTGTGGTGGGCCTTTCACAATTTGGAACTAGCAAAAAGTTATAGGTCAATTATATCTAAATTATCCTATATAATAAACGCCCAGCAACTGAACAGTGGAATGACCATAATGACTGTGGCCCCTTGCCCTGGCCAACACAGCCCCCCAGTGGGCGCCCCAACCCTGATCTTGGAGTGGGGCTAGCCAAAAAATGGCCTGCAGCTCCTCATCCTGGCTGGCCCCACCACCAGTTGGCCCCCATCGGGGCGCGCTAGCTGGACCCCACCAGTGCACGAATTCGTATACCTATAGACTCAGGCTGGGTACTTTGATTAGAGTTAGGTCATCGAAACTGTGTTCCCTTTCTGCTCCATTTGTGTTCCAACATGGGCATAACAAATTCCTTACATTAAAGTCCCGCTGCTGAAATACATACTGGGGCTTCTGTTGTTTCTCACTGGCCCTTGACTGATTAAATCTCAACAAGTAAAACAATGACGACTGGGTGATTTCAAATGCCTTCATGATAAAACTCACAGCCCACTACACAGAATTTCTCTAACGAGATAGAGGGTGTCTTCAGCAAATACCACACCTAATGCAGCAGCATTGGGTCCTAGAAAGGCAATAAGAATATAGCTTTGAAAATTGAAAACAAAATTTTTTTTTCATAAATGATTTCATGTATAGACATATCCCCAAGTATATAATGGATATATTTGGTGAGTTAATAAGTGACTTAGTGAGGTTGCTAGAGACAAAATCAAATTAGAAAAACATCAAATGCATGCCTATGTCACAGCAATAAACAAAAATTAGGATGTTGTAAAAGATGCCATTGACAATAGCGTCAATAATTATTAGATACCTGGAGTATATCTATTCAGGCATGGACTCTGTCATCAACGAGTTTAAGAAAATAGATGGTAAAATAGGGACAGTCACTGTCAACATGGAACACATAAAAAATAACCAGGCAGAAAGTAATGACTAACCCTCCGTCTGTGAACAACTATCAAACCAGATATAACAGGGTTGACAATTGTCTCTGCCTTGTTCCAGGTGTAGCTCTTCCTCCCGATCGCCTTCCGTGATGACCAACACCAACACCAAGCTCCCCACCAGGCACCCAGCTGTGTTTGCACCGAGACAACAGCTTCCCCCAGAACTTCCTGTGAGCTTCCCCTTTCGATTTCCACGTTGGGGGCTGGACATCTTGGCTTCTCACGTTTTCACAAATAAAATGCTGGCTTCAGCACATCCGAAGGCACTGTCATCAAGTGACTCATGCGTTTCTGTTCCTCAATTTCCCATTGTGTACAGCAGAGACCATGCATCCTACTCAGAACTGGTCGTGAGCGTTGAAGAAGTTTACATACGAAATGAACCAACAGAGGTCACGTGGCGAGTGCCCAGGGCTGGCTGCTCTCCCTTTTTATTTTTATTTTTAAACAGGAAGGTCCTGCTGGCAAGTTCTCCTGAAGCCGGAGGTGAGCAGGCCCAGTGGAAAGGGGGACGCTTGTTGGTGTCATTTTCCATCCCAGACTCTTCAAAGCCTCCGCAGGGAAAGACCAGCCTCCCGACCTGGCGTTCGGCTCATGATGAGGCATCTTATCGTCTCTCCGCGGTCAGCTCGCCTCACTTTACCTGTTCATTCTCCCAGCACCTCCTGCCCGTCAGCCCTTCTCTGTCCCACTGAAGGGCCCCACAGGAATCTTCCCAACAGCCCGTGCGCCGTAACCAAAGCTGACCAGGTATTTCATCACCAAAAATGACTTAATTCGGGGAAGAAGAAAAGGTTGCAACGCCCTCCACACAATTACTGCGAGCCACGTGCACGCACAGCGCTGGGAAGAAGCAGGAAAGAAGCCCATTTTAAGGAGGGAAAGCGGAAGTTAAGGGGCGGGGCTGAAAGGACCATAGAGCTCTGCTGTAACCATAGAGTGTTTCCTGTAGGGCTCTCAGCGCTGCAGGGGGTGTGAGAGCGCCTCCCACAGGCCCTCCCAATTCCTGTCTGGGTGGCCCTTTAGGACAAGCCAGAGAGCTGACCCCGACTCTCTCCAATACACACCCCTTCCCGACTCCCAGGCTGTAGACAATACATCACAGGCACCTTCCCCTGGCATTGATCTACTCACTCACCCTTTCCTCGTGGCTTTTGTTCCTTCAATCTTCCATGAAAGTCTTTGCAATATCAGATCACTCTCCTGGAGAGCATGCGTCCTTGCTTTCATCTGGCGAACACCATTCTGTCCTTCAAACGTGAGTTCTTGGAGGGACGTGGGTTGAGAGGGTGGACTGAAGACAGAGCGCATACAACACAACAGCCAAAAATTTAGTGCTACAGCACGGGTGCCTAAGAATAAGCTCTTTATCATAAGTGGGTGATGCTAAGCTATGGGTAGTCTGGGCTCCCATGTCAAAGGCATCCATCGGATGAAGAGCTAGGCTGTCCCGCCCATGAAGTTCCCTTTTAGAAAGTCGTGGATGACCTACATAACTGACTGCTTGCAGTAGCCCAATTTTCCTTCCTTGAACTTTAATTCCTGCTCCTTTGCTTTAAATTCACCAAGAGAGAAATCCTGCAAAATCCTGGGCACCCCACTCTCCTCCCCAATAGAAGCTGAACATTAGGTCCTCTCTGTTTCTCTTCCTGTGACCTTGCTGAGTGGGCCTCGGTGTGTTGTGTGTCCTCCAGGACTTGTAAGTACAATTGTCCCCCTTCTTCTTGGGAGATATGTCCCAAGACCCCCAGTGGATGTTAAATCACAGATAGTTCCAAACCTTATAAAAAGTACTAGAGGTCTGGTGCACGAATTCTTGCATGGGTGGGGTCCAATCT